CTTTGTCACCTTTTCCATTCCCATTTGTCTGTAATTTTTGTAAAGCTTTATCTCCTTGTGAGTTGTTAACTTCATTCTCCAGTCAGTATAGAATGGTGATGAAGAGAATTCCACTTCTGGAATTCCACTTACTGAGTCCAAACACTTGTTTACCACTTAATAGTGTGACTTTTAGCAAGATTTTTTTTAACCTTTCTACCTGTATTTCTTCACCTCTAAAATAATAATAATAATAGTACCTAGCTCATGTGCTTTTGTTGAAAAATAAATGAGATCATTCACATAAAAGCAGGTAGCAGAGTGCCTTCTACAATGCTGGTACTCAATAAATAATTAGATAGGAAAATTTTAATGATGCTTTTCTATTGTTAATTGACACAGTCATCAGACAAACTGGCCTATAATTACTCTTAATAATTGCTAGAAAGAATATGTTATTACGCAGAAGTGCATCATCAGAGCATTTTCAGCATGTTGAATTATAATTTGTTTAAAATTGTATTACCTGCATTTGGCAAAGGATGAATTTCTATTATAGGAATATCCCTTTACATGAAGAGGGTGTATTCTAATGTCTGTTAATTGTTAGAAATGTCATTAACAGAAATAGACATCATAGTTGTATGTTTGCAGAGGTCTTCTATTTTCCGATAGCTCATTCCTCTTTGCCATGCAAGGCAGGAAGCATAGCTCCCCAGCCCTCTTCAGTAATCAGCGTGATTCTCTCTTCTGTTAGTACTGTTTCCTACTAAGAACTTTAGAACCTAATTACAGCCTTGGACATGTCATTCATTTCTCCATCCAGGTAACTGAACTAAGAATTTTTGCCTAATTTGAGTCAGGTCTCTGCTTTCTGCTCTTGGGCTATTACCTTGAGTGACCTAGTATTGAGGATATAAGCACTTCCCCAGAAAATCTTCTGTGGTCAAGGCTACTATGTTAAAATAAAAGAACACCCTTCACCACCAGCAATGGAAGGAGAGTTCCAGTTGTTTGATGTCTTTGTCATTTTTTGGTTTTGTCATCTTTTAAGTTTCGACATTATGATGGGTGTTAATTTATATTTCCCTCATTAGAATGATGTCGAGCACCTTTTTTATGCATACTGACCATTTGGATATTCTCTTTGGCTAAGTACCTGTTCAAGTCTTTTGCCTACTCTTAGACTTTTTCTTATTGCTTTGTAGGTGTTCTTTACATATTGTGGATATGAATTCTTCATTGGATATATGTGTTGTAAATATCTTTTCCCAGTATATGGTCTGCCTTTTTATTCTAATGGTGTCTCTGCCTTCGTTTTCAAAGATGAAAAGAATTTTAGTTATTACTTTTGGTTCCTGTTAAATAGGATTTTAGCTTTAGTCACCATGTTCTGGACAGGTGCTACCCTATAGGTCACCTTTGTGTGAATTAGATAAAAACACTCGCTCTAAGTAGATGCAGCCCCACTAGCATAAGATTTTTTTTTTTTAAAGGGCAGTGTCTTTTAGTGAAAGAAAAGTCTTCTCTCAGGTAGCCTGAGTATTCTGCTAAGGCTACAGCTTGCTGAGTAGAGCTTGGTCTGGCCTGAATTTACCCCTCAGTCTGGTGCCTTAATGCTTGCTTAACACTCAAACCGCAAACCAAAGATGGCACCCTAGGGCAGGTTATCTTTAAATATTCAGAGTTTCTAACTATTGAATACAAATTATTATGGTTTATGTATTGGATTTTCTCTTTTCAAAAGGTTGTTCTTAAGTTGTGGGGAGCTAACTTCCAAGATTAATTTCCTAGTTTTGAGTTGGTTATGTCTTAAAAGTTTGGTTATCAGTTAGATGTCTCACACCCAGGATGTATTTTTCCCACTGAAACACTGTTCTGTGGAATCTTGGTTTATAAACCAACCTATAGTAGTGCGATAGAGAGACCTTAACCACTGTATGTAATGGGTGGTCTTTCTATAGCAAATATTGTTTAGTGGTCTGTCTTAGGGTAGCAGTGGCATACTTCCCACATTGTCCTAACACTAGAAATAAGGATTACTTCTCTTTCCAGCTACCTATGATGGTTGTGCTGGTATCATGGTGCAGTGGTACCTGTGGATAAGAAGGATGAACTGAGGACACCAGGTCTCTTGCTAGTGATAACCTATAACATTTTTCCTGGTTTTAGGCTAGCTCCCTTCTTTTTTTCTTCTCTTCCCAAAGCCCCCAAATCCTGCTTCCTTTCTCACTGCCATCACTTAATCCTTTTAAGTTAAGATTTCCCATTTCCCTGCTCTATGGTGGAATATAATTCTTTCTGAGAAAGATTTCTGTCTTCTTCAGTCCTTGAGGTAAAAGTGCTCAACCAGTCTTTTGAGGATGAGGGTTTTGGTTTTGCATTATTTATTTATTTATTTTTTAAAATGTTAACAGTAGTGGGGGAAATAAACAGGACAAAAATAGCAAGTAAACAGAGCTGATGTTACTAAGTTTTCAAAAAATGTGTTTCTGGTTCTCAGATGTTAAGTAAGGCCAGTTTCTGGTTTTTCTTCATTTAATTTCATAAATGCTTTAATCTTTTCTTTGTGACTATGCTAATTTCTCTCTATATAGTTATTATTTATTCCTTGTGACCCAGGATCACGTGTTTCCTAACTTTTTCATGGTTTTTTTTTTTTTTTATTTTTTTTTGAGACAGAGTCTCGCACTGTTGGCCAGGTTGGAGTGCAGTGGTGGGATCTTGGCTCACTGCAACCTCCCCCTCCCAGGTTCAAGCAATTCTTTTGCTTCAGTCTCCCAAGTAGCTGGGATTACAGGTCCACACCACCACGTCTGGCTAATTTTTGTACTTTTTTTTAGCAGAGACAGGATTTCACCATGTTGGCCAGGCTGGTCTTGAACTCCTGATCCACCCACCTTGGCCTCTCAGAGTGCTGGGATTACAGGTGTGAGCCACTGCACCCAGCTGACTTATTCCCTAACTTTTTAAAACCTTGGAGCTAGTGTAATTGGGACCTGTTTCAAGTTGAAAGAAGGCTTCTCACATACTTCTTGACTAGAATTTGAAATATGCCAAGTATATAATATATATTTAGGAAGATGGACTTTTATCCTAATTCCCACTGAATTGTAAACACGAGCATAACTATGTTATGTCCCAAAGAAGGTCTGTCTTTGGAATTCACAGTACCTGTGAAAAGCTATAGGATTGTATTATTTAGGTTGGTAATCTAAGTGAAGTAAGGTTTGTAGCATGATGTAGGCTTTTCATCTTCAAGGGTTTGTTAAGTCGGCTTAGAACAAAACTTTTCTGGCTTATCATCTCAGAAGCCTTGAAAAAATAGGTTGACTAATATTTATCAATTTTAAGGTTTTTAAATATTTTTTAAATGAGCAAGTACAAATTGTATTATTAATCTCTAGGCATTCTGAGCTCTTTCATATAAGCTTTTCTGGTTTTGCTTTTATACCTCTGTCCTAATTAAATGAATTGTACAATTTGAAATCCTATTTCTTTTTTATCATAGAGAATTATCGGTCTTGATTTATATTAATTACCTACAAATTTTGATCATTTTCTTATGAAAATTAATGTTCTCTGCAAGAAAATTATGTCAGTTCAACAGAGAGGAAGGAACACAAATATTAACATAATCTTATTTGTACATCTTTTGCAAGCACATTTTATGAGAGATCCATAAGCTACATAGAGCTTTAAAAAACTTAAAGGGATCGGCCGGGCGCGGTGGCTCAAGCCTGTAATCCCAGCACTTTGGGAGGCCGAGACGGGTGGATCACGAGGTCAGGAGATCGAGACC